GGCCGTGGCGCTTCCCTGCAGGCAACAGCGGGGAGGCGGCGCTGAGATCAGAGCGATCAGGGCCGCGGGGCCACGAAGAACACCGCGCTACGGAGACGGAAGACCGAGATTCGAGTCTCAGTTCTGAACTCGCCGTGTGCGTCTGGGCCTGTTTTCTCATCTCTAAAATGGGGTCGCATCTTTAAGACTCCCACTCTTGCACTCGGGGATGGAATTAGGACAGCCCCCTCGTGCTGAGGCGCTGAGCTTCATTTTTCTCCCGCAGAGAGGCTGGGAATACTGGCCCAACTTTACCAAAGCCTTAGCTCAAAGATACAAGGTGATTGCCTGCGATCAGGTCACCTCCACATTTGCCTAAATGTGACTGAGCTTCAGTTTCTCGGTCAGCGAAGTGGAAGACGGCCGGGCTGTTTCTCACCGCTCCCTGCCCGGCTAGTCCCGCCCGCACGCCTCCAGCGGAAAGGGAATCTGCCGGAGGCTTCGCAGCGCCCCCTACCTCCAGGCATCTGCGGCCGGGGACAGCCGGGTCAGGGCTGGGGCGCGGGCTCTGGGGAGGCCCCCCGCGACGCTCTCCCGGGGAGTGCCCTACTCGGCTTAGTACACGAGCTCCGGCTTAGGTGCCGCCACTGCCAAAGCTGGGAAACCGGTTCTCTCGGTTTCTCTTCCCTTCCGCAGCAGCTTCGCCGCAGACGCGAACCCGGAGCTTGGACCGCCCAGCGGGGCGCCGCCGGGCTTCTGCTTTCAGCTCCCACGCCGTCTCCCCAGAGAGACTCGGTCCTGGCGTCCTCCCACCTGCCTCTACACCGATCCCTACACTCTCCCGAGACAGCGGCCCCCAGGGAATGCGCTCTGTGACAGTGGTCACCCATGCGCTGTTCCCGGGCCCTCTAAGCTCTCTGGAGCCTCACAACCCCATCTCCTCCTGTGCGGGCTCAGCTGGTTCTTGGCGAGTCGCGGAGGGGGCAGAGCCCAGCGGAGAATCGGTCTGCGTCCCTCCATTAAAGCGATGAGACTGTGGCCTCTTCTGAAAGCGTTCGTCCCTCCAAACCCTGCACTGACACACCTTCCCTGCACCACAAAGGTGGCCCAGGCTCAGGAGCCGGGAGCCTACGCAAGCTGAGGCCTAAGGACCAAGGACCGGAGCGACGCGAGTCAACCAAGGCTCATAGCGCTCCCTTTGCTTTTTCGAGCGTGGCTCAAAGGGCGTCGCTGAGCACGCTGGGCCCTGCAGGAGGGCGTCAGTGGGCTGCCCAGAGTTGGGCCAACAAACCCCAGGGACGACACTGCCTTCACGCCACTTCTCCCCGGTCCCCCACCACGCACTCACGTCGGCTGGGCGGGACTCTGGGAGCCCATGGGCTGGGTGGGCGGAGCCGGCGGAGGCTGCAGGTTAGGCGCCTACCATCTCCCTGGGCGCGGCTTCCTGGGGCACTGCTGGATCGCGCGGAGCCGGAGCTGAGAAGAAGAGCGACACTCAGGAGGGCTGTTCCCAATCCCCAAAGCAGCTGTGTCTGGGAGGGGCGAGGCGGAGCCCTTGGGGAGCTTGGAAACCCGGCCCAGAGCGAAAGGCACGAGGAATGGGCCGGAGCGCCTGCGGGTCGGGAGTGGACCGAGCCGGGGGAGGGTCGGGGCCCGCCCCCCCCCCACCCCCTGCAGGATTTTGCTCTCGGCGAGCCCCTGTGTCCCACGGGTCCGCTGCTCTGGGAATGCCCCGGAGGGACTGGCTGTCCCGTCCGGGCGTTCCCATTCCGAGCGAGGCCATTTGCACCCTGATTCGCCAACTACACCCCTTCGGGCTGATCGCTGGCTCCACCAGCTCCCGGCCCACTCTGCCTTCCCCAAAACCTTTCCAGGCGCAGTCCAGCCAGGCCTGGAAAAGCTCAGAGCAAGATTCCAACGAAAGGGATGCCCACCCGAGCGCAGCGTCTCGGGCTGGATGGGAAGGGGAACCACCCTCGGCTCCTTCGCGACCCTGAGAGAGAGGGAAGGATTCCTGGGACTTAAAAGAATGCACGGGTCGCCAGGAGGTGCCCTGCCTCCATTGCTGGACAACAGGGCGCCAAAGCCTGGATGGGCACTGGGGACCCGGGCCTGGCCCCCTGGGGTCCCCGGACTGAGGACCGACCTTGGCCTACCCACTCGTCCCCAGGGCGCTCCGGCCCGCACGGCTCCCGCCTGAACGCGGTTTGAAGGGGAGCAGGCGTGCGGAGATCGCGGGTAAATACCTGCCACTGGCTGGGCCCTCCCCACCCCCGGCCCCCCACCCCCACCCAGCCGGCTCCCCCCCCCGAGCCAGGCCCCGCCGCCCCGGCACCTCGGGGCGTCCGCTCGCTGGCCTTGCCTCCACTTGCTGCGGCGGGCGCGCGGGGGCTCGGCGTCCGGGGGTTCCTCCCCCCACCGCC